CAAACTGCCGACCTTGAGGTTAGTAGCCCTATTCGTAACCACTACGCTATGAGAGCTCCTTTGGTAGGACTTATTATGAACCACCTTCTATGGGGCCCAGAGTGGTTCACTTGCAAAAAGTTAAGTGGCAGAAGCCGTGTTGATCCATGCAGTCTACTGCCAGACACAGAAGTTTTCACACCTGTCACACTCACTCTTGCTTCCAGTCTGGGTGACAGGGAGGCAGTGACGTCACTGGCTGAGACGGGGAGGTCAGAGCAGGCGCAGGTGTGCATGGTGGAGACGGGGCAGACAGGTGTCGTTCTGGATGTGTGTCAAGTGTGGCTGTTCTGTCAGCAGCCTGAGTGCAGATGTCCAGCAGACTTTGTGTCCCAACATGGAGAGGGAGCTGGGTCTCATTAAAAACAGTGAAACATCTGTAAAAATATTCTTGGCTGCTTTTTCTAGCTATTCAAGTAAAGGCCTAGGATAGCAAACAGGAAGACCAGGGCCTGGCTGAAGGGTTGTGAGTTTTAGAAAAAAGCAGATTCACTACCAAGATGCTCAGGGACTCTTGGGACATTTTGAATGAGTACAGAGAAGGTCTACAGGAGACAAAGATCATGCCATTTGAAAAGGAGGAAGGAACGAATATCTCCAATGCTCTGTCATTCCACACCCCCTCCTCATTCCGGTAGGTCAGTGCTTTCCAATGCTGTCTGCCAATTAGAATCACCTAGGTTCTGTAGGATAAACACTGGACTGATAACCACAAGGTCAGCAGTTCTGACTCCCCAGTGGCTGCTCAGGAGAAACAGGTTTTCTGATCCTTGACAGAGTCCCTCTCAGTCGAAACCACCTTGATGGCACACAACAACTACAACAGGTAATTTTTAAACTACTCCTGCCCTGATCTCATCCCAGAGCCAATTACATCATAATACCCAGTGTGGGCCTGCTCATAGTCAATCTTCCCATTTGTAAAAATCGTGTGAAATATATAGGAGTCCCTGGGTGGCACAAGCAGTTAAGCACTCAGCTAGTAAACGAAAGGTTGGTGGTTCAAAGGCACCCAGAGGCAATTCAGAAGATAGGCTTGCCAGTCTACTTCTGAAAGACCACAGTCGCTGAAAAGCCTGAGAAATACAGTTTCTGTGACACGCAGGGTCTTGTTGTGAGCTAGAGGTGACTTGATGGCAACTGGTTTGATTTAGACTACACGCACACACACATTGTAGGAAAAGCAATGGACCGCTAATCACAAGATCAGCAGTTCAAACCCACCAGCTGCTCCTCAGAAACCCTATGCAGGGTCGCTATGAGTCAGAACTAACTAGATGTCACTTAACAGCAACAAAATATAGCTACATATACATATACGTAATTTGCCATTTTACCCATTTTAAAGTACAGTTCAGTAGCATTGTAGTCACAATGTTGTGTGAGTCCCGCCAGTACTTACCTTCCAAACTTCTCCATCCCCCAAACACAAACTCAGGCCGTTTTTATAAGCTCTCTATTTCAACAAAAAAGAGGAAGACCCTCAACAAGATGCATCAACATAGTGACAGCAACAAAAGACGTACGTACACACAACAACTGTGAGGACAGCACAGGAATGGGCATCGTTCTGTTGTGTATAGGATCATTGTGAGTCAGAAACGACTCAGCCGCACCTAACAACAAGTCATTCCAACGTGAGCTGGAGTTAGGACTCACAGTGACATTAGGAGGAAACTTTGTTTGAAGGGAGAGTATCAGAGAGCAAGGTGAGTAATGATGAACATTGACACAGTGCGGTTCAGAAAGCTTTTCATATCGATGGTCTTATTTAAGGAACATTGTACTGTTATCCACTGACTACAGCACTTTGAACCCAAATGAGAAATGACTTGCTCAAGGTCAGTTATTAATTAGAAAAGCTAAAACTACCACCCAACCCTGTTGGCCCCAAATTCACAGTTCTTTCATAGCCTCATAGGCAAAAAGCCATGGTCATTTGTATTCACATCTAAAGGTAAAAGTGTAAGTAAGACTTTAAAAAAGCCATCATGGCCAGCAGGAGTGAACGGAAAAGCAAAGCCATGCCTGGTGTGCTGGAGCATCAAGGGTAGACAAGGGTGATGAGGCCAAGAGCTGGTGAGGTCCCTATGGCCCCAGAACCCAGGAACAAACTGGAGCGGTTACAAGATAGGACCAGACAGGGGCAAGTGGGAGCAGAGGCAGTGAAGCCCAGGCACTGCCCAGGGTCAGGAGGTCTGGCAGACACTGGCCTTTGGGCACCCATAGAAAGTATAGTGGTACAAATGGCAAATCTAAGAAATCCCTGGAGATGTCTATTTACCTGAGAAGAAATGGAGAAATCAAAACTCATCTCACTTACTAGGAGTTCGGTTGGCACCACACCATCTTAACTAACGCGATAATAATTCCTAATTGATAATAGGCAACATTATGATCACAATATGGAAAAAAGCAAGGATTCCTTTTACATGGATCCACAGTCAATGCCCAAGAAAGCAGCAGTCAAGAAACCAAACAACACATCACACTGGGCAAATCTTCTGCAAAAGACTTGTAAGGTGTTCAAAAGAAAAGATATCCCTCTGAAAACTTAGGTGTGCCTGAGCCAAGCCAGGATTATTTTCAATCACCTCATATGCTTGTGAAAGCTGAACAATGACTATGAAAACCGAAGAAGAATTGACCCCTTTGAAGCATGGTATTGGCAAAGAATTTTGACTAAGCCATGGACTGCCCAAGGAATAGTTCTGTCTTGGAAGAAGTATACCCAGAATGCTCCTTAGAAGCAAAGATGGTGAGGGCTTGTGACAAGTCAGACATTGGACATGTTATCAGAAGGGACATCATGCCTGGTAGAAGGCCAGCAAAAAGAGGAAGACCTTCAAGCCGATGGGTTGACACGGTGGCTTCAAAGCCGGATCAAACATGATGATGATGGTGAGGATGGGCAGGACTGATCAGGGGTCATTCTGTTGTACACAGGGTCCCTGTGAGTTGAAACTGACTTGATGACACCTAACAAAACCAAAAATTTGTATACAGCTTTATCTTTTAAAATACAGATCGTGTCCAGATGATCAGAAAGTTGTATCCCTAAATCTGTCATTAAGTAGAATACATATATAAGTTAGAAAAGCTAAATATGGTTCGTATTTAATGTCAGTTACTCAACAGTCTTGTTAAGTGCCATCAAGTTGGTTCTGACTCATAGTGACTCTGTAAAAGGTTTCCAAGGAGCAGTCGGTGGGTTTGAAACTCTGACCTTGTGGTTTGCTGCCCAGTGCTGATCCTACAGCATTACACCAGTAATGTCTTACTACCTATGACATTAGCATCCTGGTGTGGCACTGTGGGTTAATGAACTGGACTGCAAAGTCAATTTGAACCACAAGGTTGGCAGTTCAAGCTCACCAGCCACTCCTCAGAAACCCTATACAAGATTGCTATAGGTTGGAACTGACTCAATGACACTTAACAACAACATATAGGACATTCTGTACCTTTCAATGTATGAAAAAAATGAAGAAACACTTCAAGATGCACTAAACGTCTTTAACATAATACAGTAATCAAAATGATGTTTACATACACATCACAAAACAGTGCCTGTTTTATATTACGAACCATTGTGTGTACCCCACATTTTTAGTATAATAAACTTTACAGGGGTTAGTTTATAACTGCAGGTCATACATAAGTTAAGACGGGGAACCCGGACTGCTCATATGCTATTTTTTCAATTTTTCACAATGGCTGGAGGTGAAGACGATGATCCTATCTCAGTATCTTCATGTTTGAAACTGACAGGATGTCTTACAGGTATACCGAGAGGATGAGTGAAAGAATATGTCTATCAAAGTGCTTAGTGGATAAGAGGGTGCAGAACAAATACTAGTTGCTTTTGTGGTTATTTTTTTTTTAATGTAGATGGTGAAGTTCAGACATGATGAGTTCCATCTGGTACTTACAGAGTGTGAACTCCTGAATCCAACCACTCGGTTCAAGCCCAACTCCACCAATCTCACCATTAAATTTTGGAGAAGTTAGTTACCCACACTTTTGCGTGAAATGGACTTTCCTCGTTTGGTTGTTAGAGGATTCAATGAGATAGTGCACAGAAAGCTTTCAACGTAGTCTTTGGTATCTAACAACTGTACAACACGTATTCACAAATCTACTAGCATGCTTAAATAAATAGGACTTGATGCCACTTAACAACAACACGTTCTCAGGTGATGTCAATACTGCTGCTCTGGAAACCACATCAGGTGTCCCACTGCTCTATACAAAGCTGCTTTTCTCTGTATGCTTCATTGTAATAGGAGAGCTGGTACTCTGAGATCTTCACAGACCTTGCAGACCTCGCAGAATGTCAGGATCCCCAGGGTGAGGCCTGTGGTATGTTTAGGAAGTAGGTCTCTGCTAAGCAACTTAACAATAACAACAACAACAAGCAACTTAGGGCCTCGTGACCTGCTATGCACAGCCTGGCCAACTAGAGGGAGACTTTTGTCAGGCACATTCTATGACTTCCTAGTCAGCACTCCAGTTGGGTGTTTTATTATTTATTCATTTGACAGGAAACATACACTGGGTCTTGTGAGACACCATGCTGCCAGCTTAAGTAGCTGCCGTCGCACATCAGAACTCCTCTGTGCTCTTAGGAACCCTGTCCCAAAGAAGAGACCTTCCATTTGACCTTCCCCAAGGAGCCTCTCTCCACTAGCCCTTGAGACCCCTCACTCTCACATCAGGCATCATGGAAACAATGGCCATGCTGGGACAAAGCAGTGTTCAGAACTAGAAGGTGATCTTAGCATCATGGGATGCTGGACAATTTGTACACATTACAAATATATAAATTATGAGGTCTACATATATACAAAACTCTTTCCAAGGGGCCTTAGTTACATTCTATGCCATGCCAGGTATTTGTCAGAACCTTGAAAACAAAGGTGGCTTTCAATAGGGCTGACATTAAAAATAGAAGCTATCTATTATACATAAGCCTTGCTCCTTTCATGTCCACCGTGAAATCCTCTGGTGTCATCAGGACCTCTGGGCAGCCTCAGTACCCCCACAGGCAACCCATCTGCAGTCTGCATCTTCCGAGAGAGCAAAGGACTTGCCCCGGGACTTTTCTCCTGTGTCCCCATCTCAGCTTGACGGCGTCTCCGAACCCAGGGGCTGCCAGAGGGAGTGATGCTGCTGTCTGAGGAATAATCCATGCACTTGCGAAAGATCTCAGGGCTGGTACTAGAGTTCAGTCTACCTTCGTCAGCGAGTGGGGATTTTCTGGAAACACCTTTGCGTTGGGCCAAGGGGCTGCTCCAAGGACTTGAGCAGGGGGAGGCATTCGGGCTCAGAAAGAGATTCTGGTGGCCAGAAGGACTAAGCTTGTTGGTGAACGCATGTCGCCGGCCAGCCATTGGGGATGTGGGGTTGCTTTCGGGGTCAGAGGAGCTGTTGGCAGAAGATTCATCACCCATGTACTGAAGCTCCTCAACTCTCTTGTTCAAGGACTTGTTCAGGGGGATGCTCACAGTGGGTTCCTCATCATGATTCTTATCTTTGGGTGGTTTCTTTTTGGGTGGCTTCATACCAATCAGAACAGCTTTCATGTTTTCTTTGCCCTGAGCTTCTGAGATCATGTACTCATGGGCTTTGATGGCCGCTTCCACCTCCTCAAACTCCACAATGGCGCACTCTTGGGTCCCCACTTGGCTGTACCGGCTGCTGATCCTCCGGATGTCAGGGGGAAGCTCTCTCCCAGGTTTGAGGATCCGCACGGAAGAAATAATGCCAAAGGCCCCAAAGAGCTGGAGTAGGTGTTCCATCACCTTCTCCTGCACCCTTCCATTCTTCTGGGGGGTGGCCAGGGCCCAAAGTTTAGGGGACAGGTAGAGATCATAGACCAGAAGCATCTTACTGGGAAGGTTCTCATTGGGGAAGAGTGGGACAGGGGTGGTCCTCCTCACCTTCCGCTGATCCTCATTCAGCTCAAGGATCACTGAATACTTCAAGGCATAAGCTGTGGTTCTCCAGTCCCGGGTAAGGTGTTTCACCTGAAGAACACAAAGCAAATTAGAAATCGTCCTGAATGTCCATACCCATCCTGTCTCTAATCTCCCTCCCTCCCTTGTCACTGTAACACTGGCATCTAGAATCATACCTGGTAGATGCAGGCATGTGAATGAACATACATTCTATAAACTTCACAGTTTAGAACAGTGCTGTCCAACAGAACTTTCTGTGCCAAAGGAAATGTTCTATTCTGTGCAAGATTAGAAGCTAGCTTTCTAGACTCTGGGGCAAGCCTGTTGAATAAACAAATCCAAAACTCAACTCTTTAACTAGTTATAAAACCTGGGTAGTTATTCAATCTTTCAGTGTTTCACCTTCCTCATTTGTAAAATGAAGATGTTAATAATACTGAGCTCACAGAGTTGACATGAGGAGTAGATGAATAAATATACATATATATGTATGATGTTGAGTCAAAACATATCTGCACTCTGGCTGTAGAATTTATTTTAATCAACTTTTAGAAAAGACAAATACATCATTTTTCAACATAATATCCTTGCTTTTCAATACACTTTGTCCATTTGTCAACAAGTTTTCATATTATTCCCTTATTTAAAAATGTTTTAGGCTCAGCTGTGAGCCACAAATGCATTGCTATCTTCACTTCTTCAACAGAGGTGCATCTTCATCCTCAAAGGGCTGCTTTCAGGGGAACAAACAGGAGAAAGTCTGATAGAGCAAGATCAGGACTATAAGGAGTATGTTTTAACAACTCAAAACGAAGTTTTTGCAGAGTGCCAACAGTGTGGGCAGAGGTGTGTGGATGTGCATTGTTATGCAAGATCATAACACCCTTGGATAGCAGTCCTGATTAATCGGAAGTTTAGGCTTCAGCTCTTCAATGCGTATCTCACTGTAATGAGCACTGTTGATTGTTGAACCTGTTCCTGGATACTGTTCCAATGCTGGGCCTTGAGAATCCCAGAAAACTGTAAGCATCAATATTCTAGCTGATGGTTGACTTTTGAACTTTCTCTTGGTTGGAAGTTAAGAATGTTTCCATTCCATACTCTGCCATTTAATCTCAGGCTCATAGTGATGAATCTCCATCTCATCACCAGTGACAATTTTTTAAAGAGACATTTACTTTCTTTCGCACATCGGTCCAAATTTTGTTTGCAAATGTCCAAACCCTTCTGTTTATGCTCTTCCGTGAGTTGTTTCGGTATACATCTTATACAAACTTTTTGAAACCCAAGTCTGTTGTGGATTATTTCATAGGCAGACCAAGACTGATTTGCAAATGATCATATAATCTCTTGTCACTCGTCTATTCGACAGAATCATTTCACGGGCATGCTCAAATGTTGTCATCAGCCGTAGATACGGAAGGACATTTTAATATAACTGCAGTGTGGAAAATTTTTGACTCAATCTCTGTATCTTTATCTATCTGGTGGAACCGTGAGTTAAGCATTGGACCACTAACTGCAAGGTCAGTGGTTTAAACCCACCAGCTGCTGCACCAGAGAAAGATGAGGTTGTTTGTTCCAGGAAAGATTCACAAATTCAGAAACCCTCTATAGGATTGCTTACGAATTGGCTTTGCCTGACTCAATGGCAGCAGGTTAGAAGTCCTTGGGTACTGTAAACAATTAAGAGCTTGACTACCTGCTGAACGCTTGGTAATTTGAACTCACCCAGAAGCACCTCAGAAAAGAGGCCTGGGGATCTGTTCTCAAAAGGTCCCAGACCCTAAAACCACCATGGCGCAGTTCTACTTGACATACACGTAGTCAACATGAGAGGAAGTCAACTTCATGGCAACTTACAACAACAACAACAACAACAACGATGTATATGTAAAAGTCCCAGTGTGGAACAGACGATTTACTCTTGGGTACTACTCAAAAGGTTAGTCATTTGGATCTACCCAGTTGACCCAGCAGCATGATGAAAGAAAGGCTTGGTGCGTGGTTTCTGTAAGCTGACAGTCATTGATAGGTAACCTTACGGAGCACAGCTCCACTCTGATACATATGGTGTCACCATGTGTCAAAATGGATTCAATGGTATTGGGCTGGATTTCATTTATGTGTACGTGTGTGTGTGTGTGCATATGTATATACATGAGTGGGCTTCAAAAAGTTTGTAGAAAAATGGAATTGAAAGATAGCAGAATTTTTCCATGACCTTTTTGAAACTTCCTCATCTATATGACTTAGGATAGTGCCAAGCTCATAAAGAGTACTCAGTAATAAATATTATATGCTATCTTTATTCAACCAGACCAATAAATAAGATTATGGTAAGTGGAGATAATATTGACGTTGTCAAAGAGTTCATTTTGCTTGGATCCAAAATCAACATCATGAAAGCTAGTAACGGTGATTTTGTGCCACCAAGTTGGTTTCAACTCATAGTGACCCTGTATAGGGTTTCCAAGGCTATAAAAGGCTGTAGATCTTTATGGGAGCAGAAAGAAAGCCTCACTGTTCTCCCATGGAGTGACTGGTGGATTCAAACTACTGACCTTGCGGTTAGCAGCCCAGCTTATAAGCCATTATGCTACCAGGGATGCTTAAGCAGCAGTCAGGAAATTAAACAACATATTCCATTTGGCAAATCTGCTGCACAAGATCTCTTTAAAGTATTCAAGAGCAAAGATGTCAGTTTGAGCATTAAGGTATGTCTGACCCAAGTCATGGTATTTTCAACAGCTTCACATGCATGTGAAAGTTGGACAATGAATAAGGAAGACCCTAGAAGAATCAATGCATTTGAGTTATGGTGTTGCAGAAGAATATTAAAAGTATCATGGACTTCCAGAAGAACAAGTAAATTTGTTTTGTTAGAAGTGCAGCCAGAAGACTCCTTGGAGGCCAGGATGGTGAAACTTCGTCTCTTGTACTTTGGACATATTATCAGGAAGGACCAGTCTCTGGAGAAGGACATCATGCTTGGTAAAATGGGGAGTCAGCAAAGAAGCAGAAGACTCCCCTAAAGAGATAGTCTGACACAGTGATAGCAACAATGGATTCAAACGTAACAACAACCGAGAGGTCGGCACGGGACCAGGCAGGGTTTGGTTCTATTGTGCATGGGTACACTGTGAGTTAGAACCAACTGGACAGCACCTAACAACAACATCATTATTGAAATGCAATGTGTTACCACTGAGAGGACTCAGAAATTTACAATTCAAATGCTTCACTGAAGCTATGCTTCTGCATTTATGTATTTGCTACAAAGTAGGTTCCAAAAGATCTTTCAAATTTCATTCTAATATCTCATGAGAGTAACATGGACTATTTCAACTTGGAATTGAATCTATTGGGTTTGATGGAGAATGATGAAATAATCACTCCCTCCTCCCCATTTAGTTGAAACTGTGTATAAAAGTATTGCAGTATACGAATGCTCTATTTATATTGTAAAATAGTAATTTTCTAGAAGCCCACTTCCTGTGAGGGGTACACCAGGGAGAATGAGTCATCCCTAGGAAATGGAGGGAGGTGGGTGGGGTGGGTGACCTAAGCCAGGAATGGTTAAGATCACCCTGAGTCTTCTTAGGACAGGCCAATATAGTTGCTTCACGAAGGAACCAGGAAATCTAAGTGCCCCTGAGCCTGAAATAGGAACTTCAGGGCAACTTAAGAGAGGAGTCCCAGTGTGGAGCTGTAGTATCAGCATTGGACTGCTAACTAAAAGGTTGCCAGTTCAAATCCATCAGCCACTCCTTAGAAACCCTGTAGAGGGCCGCTAAGAGTCGGAACCAACTCAACAGCACTCAGAAACAATTGAGGAGGGCGGACTCAACTGGGCAGGAAGGGAGGAACTAACTATGAGAGCCCAGTGAGGTAGGACAGACAGGCTTCTGGAGAGAAGGCACTGTCCACTCTAGTAGTCTGTGACCTCTGGTAGATTCTGCCTCATAGCAAGAGACAGAGAAGAATCACTCCATTGGGTTCCTTTACAGCAGCAGATAGCCTCATTTTGTTTCCTGCTGAAATGTTGCTGGCTTCAAACTGCTTGCTGTCAGCAGGCCAATGCTTAGCCCACTCCTGAATGCAGAGTACACATACCCATGGCTCCTGATTTAGGCTTAGGGTGCGAGCATCATAAATTATCCACCCACAGAATCAGTGGGCGTATCATCATTGACAAAGGTCAAGGGCTGAGTGATTCAGGTCTCTATGCAAAGGGAACATTTCAGGTGGATACAGTCAAGAAGGATCCTGAAAGGATGCAGATGATGACTGCAGATCAATGAAAGGCCATGGGAAACCCAGAGGACGGACATGCTGGGGCTTTCTGCAAAAAGTCATCAAG